TTATGTAGGTCCCAGTGCGTAAACGTGGGCGCGTCGTCACATGATTGGTCGCTACGCTGACTAGGCGGTGCAGACAATCGATGTCCGATGAGTCAGCTTAATGCGACGTGTTTGTGCGTATGAGGAAAAAGACAAGCCTCGCGATCCAGTGAGCGACTGTGAGTTGAACAGTCAAGTATGTGGGTGACTGGGTCGCTACAGAGGGACTTATACTTGCCGGTTCGTGAATTCACTCCCAGCTCATAAACTCACCTACTTTGGGCATGACTGCCATGAAGTTCTATGCACTATCAACACTTAACTTGTGCTAACAACTCAAACTAAAGTCCAATCACATTCCTCATGACCGGTGAGTTCAGCCTTTTCAATCTAATCTACATTTCCGAAGTGGGAAATTCTCTATTCCGCACCCTGCTTGGGTGCAGTTCGTCACCTTCAGTAAATCTGTGGTTTGATTCAATAACTCAGCTGCTTGTCCCTCCAGCGGTAATCACTTTTATCATTGTTGCCCGGTTTTATTTCCAAAGTTCTCAGTGATTCTATTTACATCATTCCAAAGTCCACTTTTATGTCAGCCGCAGTACTGCCCCGTTGTGGCCTGTGTTCCACCACCACCAATGTCCTAATGTCAGCTGTGTGTAAGTCGCAATGATCTAATCGTGATGATTTTTGCACAACCCTGTTTGTCCTGAACCACGCCTATTTCCATATATCTGCTCCACTGCAATGAGATTAATGGTGCTTGAAGTTTGGGCCTTCTCTGCCGTTCTTCTGACTGTTTTATTGTGATCTTGCTCAACACCATGCTACCCATCAATTGTAAGTATGCCTCATCATTGTTAACGATTTTGACGCAGAAAGTCACGTGCGAAAGGAATCCTGCAAACCACTGCAGTGCCACCCCTCGAAAGCTGTGCAGTTTGATTCTGTGGATGTTTGGGATACAATAGCTTCTCTGAGTCGAAAAATACGGTATCCAAAATTACTTCTTTGCCTTTTGCTACATACATGTGAATATTTGTAGTGAAGAAGAGGTTCGTTGTGAATTTTTGCCGCCCTGAACATTAGGCTATTTGCGTTTTTTTTTTGAAACAACACCTCGGGATGGACCCCTAACAAGCCGGTAGTAGTCTGTCACTGGGTTTCAAGGTAGGTTTACCGGGTAGTCATAAGCGGGATAAAACACAGGTTCGGGTTCTGAACAACTCGATAATTCACTCGCTAGCCATCACGGTCTATTTTTAGTTTTCTCTCATGAACACCATTCGATCATTTAACGTTATATGATGTCGGTTTAAACAATAGCTTGCGGACACATTTTCCGTAAATGCCACATCTTTAGAGGCTCAACATAACTGTATGGAAGTGAAGGTAGGTGCGTTGGGACGGGATCAGTAGGTTACGCTTTTCCAAAAGGTTGGTTGCCGAGGTGAAAATTTTTTGGTACCTGAATACCTGAAGTATGTTTTGGGAGAGGCCACAAACGCAGACTTTCGTTTTTTGGCTTTGTGCCGCGTTGGTTGGGGCATTCAGGATTTATTGGCTGCTCTCAGGGTGATGGAAGTTTTAATCCGGGTGCTGTTTGACATCGGCTGCTCCAGGGCCCCGATTTGACGATGCTTCGTATCTTGCAGCTTCCTGGCGAAGCACTGGTTGACATCTCAGATTGGACAAAGCCTTTTCTTGACCATTCTGTGTGTGTGATTGGTCTTCACAGAGGCCCAAATGAACCAGGCAATGCAGAGAGTCGTCCATTTGATCCCAGCAGACCAGCATGAGGTTTGACTCCATTCTTAATTTCAAGGTGACCTGATTGTTGACGAGCTCTCGACTTCTACAGGTGGATGCATCAGGTTTAGTTCCATTGTACCGCATACACCTTAGCAAGGTCTCTATGGCTGTTGCAAGTCTGACGTCAATCATTCGAAATAGTCAGCCATCGTTGGCTTTCGCTGTGTTATCTATCGTACAGTATGATGATTCACATGGCATTTGGCTGCCTACAAACTCACCAAAAACAATTTCCAGGTTCCTGTCTCCGATATTTTAGCAGAACAATCTGGAAGTATGCAGGTCAATCAACACTGGTAGCTTCAGTTGGAATGTCACAACCACTGTTGTCTTTAACCGTGAGTCCGCGCACGGCATTTCGTAGTCATTTTCCGATCAGGGAAGGGTGGTTAGTATTGATCCGGCCCATATAATTTCAGCGACCATGGTTTCATTTTTAATTTTACAGTCAGTGTATGACAGGTTGATTTCTGGGTTCTGGACTTTAGATGTTAGCCTTACTATTCAGGAAGCCTTCGGGATGTTGGACACTCGTTCTAGAGCATGGAGGATAAAATTTAAAATTGAAAGAAAAAAGAAAGTGGAAAGGACCTTCCTTATTCAAATAACTCGGCTATGCGGCATGAAAATTTGCAGCAGAACAGAACAATCGGTTCTATTTTTCTTTTGCCTGCAGTGTGCTATGAAATGCATCGAGCGGGCTCCCAAAAGGTTGACCGTGGGCCCGTGCGTGAAGTGATCAATCGGTGATGGTGCTTCATCTTCGATTGGCCCAGCAGACAGCTTTACGGCCATACGACTGGCCGAATGACAGAGGCGTGAAAAGTTCAAATACTTATTCAGTGAATATAGTTTACTTACGTCTCTCGTCAGTTGTCTATGGGCTAAACGGTTGATCATTTCAAAGCGTTCAAGACCGAAATACTGGCCGGGCGCTCAATAATGGCAGTGACCTATCAGGAAATCCTCGTGACATCATCTTGACATAAGCCGTTTGGGTCCGGATGCTGCACTTGTTGTTGTCGCTCCTATACAGGGGGCTGAAGTGCACTCGGACGGTTCCGACGCGGTTCGGCGAACATTTTGTGTGTCAGTGGGGCCACTGCGCCCGCAGAGTAATTGTGGCGAGCATTTGCCGTTCTGTACAGCTATTTCTCCCAAATATTGATGGACTTTCATCCAACCTGTGACAAGGGACATTAGTGATAATCTTTCAGAGGTTGGTTCGTGAGAAATCTTAACCATAGTTTAAAGTGAAACGAAAGTGCATTAGTTATACTGATAACAAATGGAATTTCGGTCATTGTACGCAAATATGTGAATTAGGCGTCGATTGTCACGGTTTTTAGCAGAATGTAATAAATTCACGGATTGATACACAGGATCGAGGCTTTTGTCCAATTTTCCCCGGTCGGTTTTGTTCTTGTCGGTCAGTGGTTGTCGTTCACCTGAAAGGCACAAGTGAAAAAAGGGTGTAGCCCTGCTCTTCATGTTCTCAGCGCGGGGTAGTATGCTTGCCAGCGCGAGGATCCGTGTAAATAAATGTCTAACGGGGCTTTAAACTTGGTTCTAGAAGGAGCGTGAACAACCGCTGGAGGAAGGACATTCCACGCAGCTACTACCCGAAATGAGAAAAAAATTTTGTCTAATGAATATGTGTGCTCTGAGCTTGAAAATTTTCTTACTATGTCCCCGCCGGGTGTTTGCTGGGTCAACGGTAAAAAACCTGTTTGCCAAGCTTTGTTCAAACAGGGCGTAAGTAAGAATTAGGTCCCCTCGGAGGCGACGGTACTCCAGGGGAAAGAGATCAAGCATCGCGAGACGCGTTTCGTAGTTCACGGACTTGTGGCCGGCAACCATTCTCGTAGCGGTCCGCTGGACGCGTTCAATGCGGGCGACGTTATTCGTGCGTCCTGAGTAGACAACTTGGTTGGCGTACTCCAGGAGCGGTCTGACGTAGGCCCCATAGAGTATTTGGAAGTCCATGCGAGTAATACGGGGGAAGGTGCGTCGGATCATCCGTAAAATGGCGAATGCCTTTTGGGCCGATTTCTCATGGTGCAGTGAGAAGGATAAGTTTGAGGAGCTGCTTCGCAGCGTCTAGATCCATTTGAAGGGCACTGGCATTGGAACTTCGGGATTTCAAGTCGTCCGCAAAAGGTAGACATGGACTCGCAAGAACGTCTGGGAGGTCGTTGACGTAGATCAGAAGCAGGAGTGGTCCCAAGACGGAGCCCTGAGGAACCCCAATGGAGACCGGTGCTGGAGAGGAGTAGGTCGAGCCTATTCTCACTCGGAATGATCTGTCTGATAAGAACGCCTTGATCCAGCGAAGGATTTATCCTTGAATCCCGTAAGACTGGAGTTTGTGGAGCAGTGGGACCCTATCAAATGCTTTTGAGAAGTCGAAAAATATGGCATCCGATACGAGTCCTTCGTCCGATGCAATCGAGGGCGAGCAGCAAAACCGTCAAAGTATCGAGCTTGTTCAACTCTAACACACGTCCTGAGAATCTTTTTCAAGTACACACGTCACCAAATAAAGTTAGATTGCCAATTCTGTCGTAGCGCAAGCTAACTCGGACGGTCAAGATTCATGTAGCGACTACATTACAGCAGCGACACTAGTGAGTCTGTATATTCCCTACAGTTTTACTGTACACCACGATTCTGATATTCCTGTTACCATTTATGCGCACTGCTAATCCCTCCACTTCAACATCCTCACTTGCACCTTTTGTGACTCGGGTCATAAGCCCAACGATCCAAAGCCACGTGGCCTCAGCTGCGGTAACAGGCTTTAGTTCAGTTTGACCGGCTTCATCGCACTAACTCTGTTGTTTCACCAGATCCAATGTTTTGGTCCATCGTTCTCCCCATTTAGCAGTTTTATTGTCATGTTGAGCCCTCCCTCGTTTTGTTTTTGCCCGCGTCACCTGTGAATTCTGTCGATCTGGTATTGCTTTAGCTCGATATTTCCACCGAAAAAAGCAGTATCAGCTGCGCTGCCGCATCTTAGACGCACACCCAAAATTTTCCCTAAACCGGGGTTCAAAAAAGGGAACCCCTGACATAGATTTTCAGCGTTTGATGGTATTTATTCGGGCCCTTAAGATCTCCTACGCGGTCGCAGTTTTATTAGAATTTGTTTAAAAGAACTCGCAGTCCACCGCGCGCGGAATTCGTATTTCACCTGCTGTCGGTGGCTACCAGCATTGTCTTTATGAAAACGGTGAAAGATTCTGTGGAAAAGCTGTCTTCCTAGCGTGTCTTCTTAGGTACTGGATTTAGATTTAATTTCAAAACAACCTAGACAATACTCACACCCATTGCGTCCACGAAAACTCAAATTGGAGTGGCCATTCACGACCTGGATATAAAAAATTATATCGTTGCGGCGATCGTCCCTGCGAAGCCAAGTAATTCGTCACAGCCAACAAGTTTGTTTTTTAATGTGGTCATCATACGTTATATCTGGCCTAAGGCAAGGTTCAATCTTCGCCAATATGCCGAGCCACCGATAGTGCCGTTGGATGAACTGTTGGGTCTGTGGGAAGAACAACAGACGGCACAATAAGATGGCTTCTACTTTCAAGTCCTTGTAAAAATTAAACGGACTGAAACGGCCCTGTGGGTAACACGCTCGTCTGGGGAATATCAGAGATATGGTGAACTACGGGCAGGTCTCCAGACTGGGTGCGGTAGTCGCGGTACCGTGATCGCGACACCGAACTTGGGTTTGTGAACAGCCCCGTACATGGACATCTTCGATGAGCGGTTTATGGTTGCCATTGTAGTTAGAATGCTTTTGAATCCATCGAGGGTTCACGGTGGTTTATTGCTGCTATTCTGACGAGGCAATAAAACAGTCATGTCTACACTGGGCCTCAACCTAGGGAATGTCCAAAAGTTCTGCTAGAAAGCACTTTGATCTGCGTTAGAATGACACCCAAAATAACAGACAGTAAAAGTTCTCACAATCCCTAACTACTTCAGTGAGGCGAAACTGCCTATTTCAAAGGCGTTTATCGATTTTTAGATGCAAAATAGGTATGCTTTCGATGAGAACTGGTGTGGACACATGTGATTATGAGGGCTTGCACCGGCTAGATTGGAACTTGGAAAGACATGAGATCAGAGATACCTGGTGGTGTTGCGTGAGCTGACCTAAGAATGGAGCTATCACAGCCTAAAGAACAGCGTGAAACTTTGCAAATCCAGTTGCCTCTGAGGCGTGATATCACATGTATTTGGTGGGTCTTGGAGCGCCTTTTCCCTTCCTGTCGATGGATTTTTCGATTGCCCGAGATAGATGTGACAACCGGGGCAAGCTAAAGCCGAAACAGGCGCCCGACAAAAGTTGATTCCATTTTAGCTTTCCCTTCATTGCAGATGAGGATTATGGGGTTCATCATGCGGAGGGAGTATGTTTTGGGGAGAGGGCATGCAGTTGAAGTAAAAGCTGTCAGCCATGCAGTCTGCATCGTCGTGAACAGGAGGTGCGGAAGGGGCGGACGTGTTACGGGAGCTGCTAAAGCTTTCGTGCACAAAGCGGTGTACGTGGATAGCGCCCTTTCTTCATTCCCACTTAATTTCATTGATGTCTTCTGAACCCGGGCTTTAAGTATCTAGTCCACCTGGAGTATGCAGTTGTCGTGCTCAGCTCCGAAAAGTGTGAAAAAACGCGGGTGTTTTTGGATGCACTGACTAAAGTCATCCTGTCCTCTGTTGTGCATTTTGTATCCACCTGTTTTCACGTTACCATGCTGATGTTTGGTACCAACAAGTGGGTGGCGTACCGTTGGGTCTGTTCATAAGGTTACAGTCAGAATAAAGCGTGAGTTTGTCTTTAGTTGCACGTAACGGAACAATAGGGCAATAGGGCACAGTCAGTAGATGGAAGAGAATATTTTCGGGTGTACTACCAGACTACTTATCGCAGTGCCATGCCATCATTTCACTGAAATGCTTCGGTTCTGGCTTCTCAATGGCTTAAACTGATGGCATATTAAGGCGCCTGTAAACGGCTGTAAGAAGCAAGCTTTGACAGAAGCCATTCTTAAGCACAATGCTTGTAGCATTCCGCAAAATACAAATGGTGTCTCAATTTCTCCCTTGGGAACGCGTGGACA